AATATATTTAAATATGTAGTGCTTCAGTGATCCAGCTATAATCTAAAATACTGAGTACCCTGGCAGCTTGCAGAATCCTTCTGGCAGATCTTAGTAGACCGGTTAGCACAACTGTTCCAGATTGATTCATCTCTATGATATATTTAGTTATTTTAGCTATCTGCATATTTTTTTGCAATATTTTTCCTGCAGTTTTCCCCTCCCCTCTCTTGTTCTCTTTCTCTCAACCTCTGGAGACCTGCTTGTTGAATTACGGAAGCATTATGTAGAGAATTGTGTGTCTTAGTAGCTCTTTGTCAAATTATGTCTGTTGACCTTTAAATGCCCATTAATTTGAAGTGAGGTTTACTTTAAAATATTACGATAAATATTTTAGAGAAGAATAGAAAGGCTTTTTATAATTTTTTAGTCTTATGAATTAAAAAAAATAAATTGCCTTTTAACTTGAAATAGCTGTAAAATCAGGAACTGATAGAAGTTGATACTAAATGTGCACCAGTTGTTTAGCAGTCATAGTATGTTTATTTTTTAAAATTTCCTGTTGGAGGAATATTTTTTTATCTCCTGCTTTAAGGTAGCATCAAGGTATAAGCCTAAAAAGATGTTCAAATATTATATATATGTGTGTGTTTTATATATATATACACGCACAAAGAATATATATAAACTTTATATATATATAAATACTTTAAACATGCTTCTTGTTGTGGTTGCTGAGTCGAGAAATTATGAATTTCAGTGTAAATTTTTAAACATCGGTAAAATCTGGGCTTACTAAGATGTGATTTCATTATTTAATTTTGTTGTTATGGCTGCTAAGCCTATATTAGGAAGTCAACAACATTTAAAAAAGGAGTTGTTTCTAGCCCAGTGCTACCTAAAACATTGTTTCAGCTTTTTGTCTACTTCACAGTAATGTGACATTAGAGCCTTTTGAGGAATTTTGTAAAACAGTAGTGTTGTTGCCTCTGAAATTATATTTAGTGTAAGAGTGAATGTTATTTTTAAAACTCTTAGTCGAGAAGTGGAATAGTTAAGGTAGCTACAGTGCTGTAACATAGACTGGTTGGGTATGACACTTTATGTTCCAGTTGGTCATGCAAAAAATTTCAGTAAGATAAAGTGGGGAAAAAGAATACGGGACTCAACAATTGCAGCTGAAATAGATTGTTCCAGGCACATATTTTTCCAGGGTTCTCTGGTTTTGTGGTGGCTATTTTTGTTTGGATTGATTTTGATTTTTTTGTTTGTTTTATTTTGTTTTCTCTTTTGATTTTAATTTTATAGTTGAGTTGGAATACAGTAACTTGTAGCACTTAGCCTGGAATAAACTCGAGGCGGATCCTGCCTTGATTCTTGCTGTGGAGCCAGCGGGGCCGGGTGCTTTATGGAGATGATGTGCCCCACCCATAAAGCAAGGAGCAATATGAGGTTTTGCGTGATCCCTGTAGGCAATTTTGAGTTTTGCAAAGACTGGCATACAACTTGATGCATTTTAACCTTATTACCTGGAAGGTCAGTTGTCGCAGAACTTGTTTGGTGTGAATATTTGTGAATTCTTGAAATTTTTTTGGCAAACTTTCCCAGGAGTCGCCAAAACCCAAGCATTATAACACTGTAACAGTGTTGCAGATTACTCAAAGTGGAAGGGAATCCTCCTTTGCTGCTCTACTCCCTCAGGTGCAGCTCAGGCTTCAGATTTGACTCGGGCTAAAGCTGCAGCCATGGGAAGTCACCTGCTGGAGTCTCAGTTAATTGGTAAAATTCTGTCATTATGCCTGAAACGTAAGAAAACTGTAGTTGTTCAGTTCAGTTATAATTTTCGTCATGTTTCAAGCCAGACCTCCTGCACATTAAATGTTTGCACAGACATTTAGACAGGCGTTGTCTCTGTACTTTAATTGGAAATAGTGATCCTACAGTTACCACTGTATTGTTACTGCTACCTGTCATAATTTGTCATTTTAGATATTTAAACTCACTGTACTTGTTTATTCAGTTTACATTTATCTGCAAAGTGTTTTTGTTTGTTTTATGGTATGAACATTTAGATTCCTTTGCATATTTCTGGTTAATTACCAAAAGAATGAAATGTTAAAGAACGAAATCTGCTTAAGACGTATGAATTGTTAGAGTATTAGTGTTAGTATAAAATTTCAGTTATTTTTTTAATACTGTCCTTACATGCAGTATAAGTAAACCTGAATATCATTAAGCTTGCATGTATAACTGATGTTTATTGTCCACTGAGGCTGATGTAATTGTTATTACTCAGTACATGTATAAATGAGGGATAAGGGTTGCTAACATCTTGTGGAATAGAGAGGGAATATTTCTCTATGTTATGAAAATGACTAAATATAAGTATTCTCATTTACACAGCCACAATTCTTCAAAAATAGTATTAGGGATAAGTATGCTACACTGAAGAAAAGCATGATCAAACTATGCTAGAAACCATGCAGCCTCCAAGGAAAGACAAAAATTATTCTCAGTTTCTTGAAGTACCAGTAAAACTACCTGTCTGTAAAGTATATTTATTAACCTTGAAGGATCCTAGCAGTAAGCTTATGTAGGACTGGAGAAATGGCTCTTGGGCTAGGGATTCCTCTGTTGTTGCCCCGTGCATTTTAATGAAGCAGCGCAAGGATTTCTTGAAAATCCAGGAAAAAGGGAAGTTCTAAGACATCATTAAGAGCATGGATTGACAACAAAAGATGTCCACATGAAGCAGGTGTCATATGGTATTTCTTAATCATATCCATTTATGTCTCTCCCTCTTACAAAAGGAAGCTGTTAAAACTCTTGAGAAGTTGCATTTTTACATTTCGTTTCGGCTGCTACCAGTGGAATTTAGTCTCAGCTGTTATCACAGTAATGCTGCTTTGACCTTTGTAGTATAGCAGTGCGTGAGCCGTGTTGTTTGCCAACCTTCCGGGTAAAAATGTTTCATTCCAGTGTATTCAGTCAGTTCATTCTTGGCTAGAAATTGCTTGCAGACAGCAGGTCACATAATAGATCACTTCAGCTTGTGTCATGATGGCATTGGATTATCTTCTTCATTCCAGCCAAATACATATTTACATCATGATTTCTGTTTTTCAAAGTGCATTTTGATGTTCTCTCCCTTCTGACTAGAAGAGTGTGTGTTTAGTTCCACTGGGCCTATGTGGAGGTAGGGAGTGAGAATCTGTGTGTTTGTACAGTTACTGCAAACTAAGTTATATGTGCCTGAGATGTTCCTCTTGGGAGGGATGCTGACCTTGTAGCGTTGAGATGCTTCTCGCAGTTATATTCCTCAGGGTAGGAAATGCTGACTCCAGCATCAGCATTTCTTTCTCCTGTGCCTTTCTTTAAACCTGAGCATAAAATTGGCATTAGAATTCAATTGTAGTTCTTGATGCTAGAGTTCTTGATGCTAGAGAGATTTTTCTTTTGATTCAGTTGACTTTTTTTTATTTTTTAAATTAAAATGTATTTCCCCTGTTGAAGATGAAGACTGACTTAGTTGGAGAGCAGCCAGTGTTTTTCTCTTGTCATAAACTGGCTGGTCTAGTTGGTGACTGGCAGTTAAGGATCCTTCAGGTGTCTGTCAAGCTATTTATTGGCTGTACTTGAGCAATGAAATTATGTCAGCTGGTGTGATATTTTAGAGCAGCTGCTATTGCTGTCCACCAACAAATGGGCTTTTGGAGTAAGATTCGTCTTGCCTAGTTGCCAGAATTCAACTGAGTTAGTTCTGTGCCTTCCCTTTATAGCTGCTGGAGAGAAAATGATGTTTACAGACTCTGTTTTTCCTCACCTTTGGGTAAAAGTCTGTAGTCAGATTCTTTGGAAGCAACTATCTCCCTTAACTGAAATATTTGGTCTGCTTGCAAGGTTGTGACAGGTGAGGATAGGATATTCCTGCTCATTTTTAATCCCTGACTTTCCTGGTCTTTTATTTAAATGAAAGGCTTATAGGTCTCCATGCTCAACAGGTGATGGTGCAGACCAATTGCCTTTTATTTTGTCTGTGCTTCTCAAGAGACAGATGAGATGACTGGAGACTTAGCTGTAGAGGTGTGGAAAGCTTCTGATCCTGGAAATGGCAGGTGAGGCTGAGGCATGAAGTGGTGACTGCCTCTAGGTATTTTTGCCTCAAAGTGTATTTATGAAATGGAGTAAGCACAGGAACTTGCCTCTTGATTTGAGCATTAGGTACAAAAGCAGGTAGTTCTTGCTTTATGATTAGGAATTAGTATCTTGTATTTGTCATAATTTTCTGTTTAAAGGAAATTTTTCACAGGCAACTAAATACTTGTGCTGGAAGTTGATAGAGGTTAGCTGTTTATTTCCTACTTGACATTTATTTACTTAAGTACCATTTCTCTCCTTGTATCCCTCACCAAAATACCTTTCCCTGTTTGCTTTTTTCTTCTCTTAATTAAAGTATTTCTTCAGAACTTTCCTTAACCTGTTTTAGTAAGTATCATAATTAACACTTAACCCTGTATTACAAACAGGGTTTTATTTTTCTTTTGTACATATTTTAGCTGAACATGGTTTACATCAGGTTTTTTTACTAATGTTATGTATCTAACATGTATCTATAGAATTATACCCTATTATACACTACTTTACTTAGTGAGCAGAAATACTTTATCATCTTCTCTTGATATTGTTAGTAAAAACTTTTATCTGCTGAAGGCTTTTTGTATGCCTGTTTTATCCATTCCTTATCCTTTATTGAATGTTTATCCAAGAGAGAAAACAAACTCTGTCAAACAAACCAAAATTGCTTTAGTTCTTATCTATCTTCTTTCCTTTTTTTTTTTTTAAGATCTGTAGTGAGTGTGCTTCTTAGAAGGCTTATCTATGCAGTGGTTTTTGTAAGTGTTTAATGTTTATGAAGCATAGTAAGCCAATTGCTTTTGAACTCTACAAATGAATATTAAAATAACTTGGGAAGACACACACACTTAAGAGCTGTGATGAATAATTTTGAGGAAGCAGACTCTAAATTGAACATTTCCTTTTGCAGGCCCAGATTGCCTTTCTTCAAGGTGAAAGGAAAGGACAGGAGAATTTGAAGAAGGATCTAGTGCGGAGAATCAAAATGCTGGAATACGCGCTAAAACAGGAAAGGTACGCTGCTTTTGCAATCAGTATGTGATGAAGAAATGCTGAAGACAGAAACTTTATTTTGCCTTCGTATTTGACAAAACCAAGAAATATTTCTTCTGTCTCTACTCAGTTCTCAGATTTACAAATTTTACTGTACTAAACAAAGCACTAGTCTAAATGTCTGCATTATGATAAGAGCAATAGCTAAAATAGTGTGGCTCCAAAAGCATGCTTACAAAACCCATAGATGATCAATAATTAATGCTTTCCCTTGGTAAAATTACACTGAACTGTATAGATTATACTCCAGAATTACAGTGTATTCTCATTTTCGTTCATAGTACTAGCTTTGTTTATTAATATGTGACAACTGAAATCTTGAATAACCATCTTCAGTCTAATAATTACTAGTTTTTAATCTTGCTGAGTTTTTATTCTTTTCAGTATGATAGATTCTACAAGAATATCTTCTGGAAGTTAATTTTGTGATTGAAAAAATATTTATGTTTACCAGTTAATCAATGTCTATTTCTTTGTCCATGGACATTTTAGTACAAGTCCCCAGTTTACCATTTTATTCTTACATATACTCTCCTGTTACTCTAACCTTTGAGGCAGGCAAGTTGTTTTTTTCTCATGTTTTCAGAAATCTCTCTGTATAACCGATTTATTTTGGGCCAAGTTTAGTTTAATTCTTTTAATTAATGAAATATCTTTTAAAATTCTTGAATAAAGAGTATATTTATGGTACTGCTGCAAAACAGTAATTTCTTGCATTATCATTTTCCTATCAGATAATTCCTGCTTCTCTTTAATAAAATAAGCTTGTGAAATAGTTTGTTTAATAGAAATAAGATTAAAAATATACACATATGCAAATGAGGAATAGAATATCACTTGCAGATAATTTTAAAAGGACACCAATAGTTACATTCCTGTATTGCATTTAGATTTGCTCATCTTATATGGGCTGCTTTAGCACAAGACATGTCTTCTAGCATCCAGTTCATCTCCTTCTGGTAGCAAGCAGTTAATCCGCTAGCATGGAGATGCAGCCAGGGTTCTGGCCAGCAGTAGCCCCAGTCTTCAGGGTATTCTCTTCTGCTTTGGGGAGTTCTTGGAGGAATGCTTAAGGTAGATACTCTTTTTACCCAGACCTTCTTATGCTGCTGATCTTACATCAAAGAGCCCGGAAAAATACAAAATGTATGCATAACGGAGTTTGCAGTTTATGGCTGTGGGAAGGCTTACATTTGAAGCATGATTACTAAGCTTCGTGTCATTGGTTCAGTTAAAGATATACTCTAAGTTATATGTATTCTGTAAAGATTTCTTGTATTTCAAAACTGGAGGAGCTATTCCTGATTACATAAAAGTATCTCTAACACTTCATGTTCATAACCCTCTGAAGTTAGCAATTTAAAATGATCAAATGTAAATACATTTTTGTGTAATATCAGAGAAACTTTGTAACATTAAAAAAACAAAAATCAAACTTCCATATGGATGGTGAAAATGTCCCCCAGTTTTATCCTGTAAAATCCACCTAAATTATGATGTTTAAAACTTAATGCAACAGTCCCTGTCAGGATTAGGAAAAAACACTTGGTGGCTTCTTACTACAGTTTTTACATCTGTATCTTTTATGTTGCATGTTTTTCTGCAGTGTGTGGCGTTTGCCTCCATTACTCAGGTCAGTAGGCTAGAGTTGGCTGATCTGATCCAGTGTGACAGTTCCACTATGGGTCTGCAGTGGTTCTGTAAGCAGATGTGATGCTTGTGACTGGTGTGTGTGCTGGAGACAGCTATTTATGAGACTGTAGTTTTAAACAGCAGTTTTATTTGCCAGTTCCTGAAGAAATAGTCTTGTATTTCTTCTGGAATTATCTCCCAGCAAGGGTTCTTGCATGATACTTCAAAGAGCAGCAACATACTGAGCTTGGAAGCACTGGTCTCTTTCCCACCGTTTTCCTAAATCAGCTGTCAGCCAGGTCAGGCTGTAGTCAGGATGCTGGCATTTTCCATTGGGTTCTTAGAGCTGGAAAATGAGATCCTACAGGCTAGGAGGAAGACATTCCTGTCAAGTTTGGGGAAGGTTGGTATGTTGTGAGGGGGCAGAGAAACATTCTTGTATTCCTTCATTTCTGCCCTGGCTGCACAGCATTTCAGATCTTTCCCAGCTAGACAAAGTAAGTTATGAGTAACAGAACAGAATATAAAATTGTGGACCAGAGTACTCCATGTTCACAATGCCCTCAGGAAATCACGAAAAAGAAATGAGCAACGTTTATTTTCTCAGGTACATGCTTCTTTTATCAACCAAATAGTTTCAGATTTACTATAAATAGCCAACTTCTGGTGCATTCTTGTTCTCTATTTCATGTCATGTCATTTTATCGTGGCTAAGGTAGAAAATAAGTTTTACTACTGACTGTCATGTTTTTCTGGCAAATTTAGTTTAATGTTTAGTCTTTATGTCAGTAATTGTGAAGTTTTCTTTTTATTGTGTGTATAGCAAGCCAGGTTATTTCTGCTGAAGAGTCTTAGTAGGTAAAATAGCAAGGAGCTTACAAGGAGTTAGTGCATAGTTAAGCATTTTTCAACAGCAGTTTTGATGTAGTTTTGTCAGCATCCAGTAGATTGCAGTGTGAGGCTGTTCAGAGTTGAGGGTTACTTTTTATGACTTTATCAATACTTGCTCCAGCACCCGTAAATTGCATTGGTGCCTCTGGATTTTCAGGAGCTAGCTGAAACATAGTACTGTTTCTCTCAAGTACATGTCCTATTTCAGCTAGTCTAGCACACTTCCTGTCTTAACATATTTCAACCAAAGAACTGGACTCCTGAGCCATGTCTCTAGAAACAGTTGATTTAATTTTATGTTGTTTTCTGCACTGATGTGTCTGATCAGTGTAAGGCTGGCGCCTTCTCCCCTGGGTAGAATATCTCGCCGTGCTGTTCCTGGCAGTCGCTCTTGTTTATGTCTCTTGATTTGGCGGCAGCTCCCAGATCTTTTACGGATGTTTTGGCAGGCTCCCTCAGCACAGCTGGATCAGATGCTTCAGGTCTGGAGACAGATATTTCCAAGAAATAGTGGCTTTTTTTGACTGGAATCAAATTTGTTTCTGTGTGAAGTATTCAGAAAAGTTTGACTTCACTCAGGAAATTTGGATGAAGGCTTTTAGCATTTTCCTAAGCAATTTCTTGAAGTTGTGGCAACCATGTTGAATGTTTCTAAGGACTGAATAGAAGACACATAGTTTAGTTAAAATACTGCTAATCAAAAGAGGAGAATTGTGTAATGAAAGACAGAAGCCAGAGCAGTGGCAATACTCCTACTTATCTGAGTAAGGGCATCTACCCAGGAACCTAGTTTCACTGTTGCTAGGATAACTCGAAGGCTAATCTTCAGATAGAAAATATCTTCTATGAAGTTGTATCCTTCAGGTAGTTATTTTCAAGTATGATACAGATGATACAAAGGTTGAAGAAACTTGCACTTTACTTTATACTTTTTTACACAAAAAATACTTTATCTGTTTTTTGTGATGGTAGTATCACACTATTGGAATGTGTGAGCTAGAGTTCAGTGTGAGCTGCAGAAGGCCAGTTTAAAGCTGTTAATAAGTGGACCATGTGATTTCTGAGAAAGTTAAAAAATTAAGCATTACAGATGGGCAGGAGATACTCTGTCATTGTAAAAACAGATTAAATTAAAATGTTGTAATGTAATAAGTGATATTTTGAATTTGTATAGAAAAGAATTAAAGGCTATCTCGTGAAAATTTTCATAGCCTTTGATTGCAGTATGTGTAACTGAATGGTCAAGACTCCCTTCTTGTCCTGGTGTTCAGCCCTTGGTGCACTTCAGACAGAAGTTTATCTTTCATGCCTGTGACATTTTCAGCTGTATCATAAAACAGTGTCTAATAATAAATCTTATAAGCCTGAAGAAGTGTAGAAAATATTTCCGAGATGGCATATTAGTGGTCTATACTGATTTTATGGGAGTTTTTTGTAATATTTTTTCTGAACTTTAGAAGCTGACCACAACTGAGTTCAGTGTGTCACATACTCTGGTGTGATACTCATATTTCTGTTTCAAGTCTTTGTCCTGTTCACAGACCTGAATTTATACCAATTGAATTTAATTCAGGTTTGATTATAACATTAGGGGGTTTTTGTTATTTTGTGCAGTCAGAGCTCTATAACTTCGTTTTTAACTTTGCCAGCATTATTGAAAATAAAGATTACTTCTTGGGATTTTCATCTCTTCAGTTGCCTCTTTGTTAGAACATGGTTCTTCAGCCTTTTCTGTAGTGCTACTGGTCTCTGCCTGCAATATACAAAGTTAGGTCTTCTAAAAGGTAAAATCTTAGTTCACTTTGGCCCTAAAATAAATTTAAAGGGCCAGTGGTGTACAAGACCATGTAATCTACATTATCTCTTGAAATAAAGAATAACAACAAAAGCTTTAAAAGCTGTTGCATTGTGAGATTTAACCAGTTAGAGAATCCTGGTACTAACAGTTTAAAATGGATTTAGAATGAATAATCTCATTTTGCTGAAATGATTTTATAATGCTTTTGATGAGTGGGGGAAACTTCAGTAAGAAAAATTGTTGATTTAAGAGGGAAGTGACTAAAAAGTGAGCAAGCATGGATTTAGGAGATTGAAATGAATATTTATTTCAATAAATAAATTTATTTATTTATTGAAATAAATAAATTTTTATTTATTTATAAATAAACTTTATCGTTTATTTATAAATAAAGAAGTTTTATTTATTTATTAAATAAATAATTTATTTATTGAAATAAATATTTATTTCAATCTCCTAAGTTTAATAAAGAAGTTTAATAAACTGCAGTATGAATCATTGAAAGATGAATTTTGGGGAACATGAGATCTGAGGAACAGGAAAGGTACAAAGAACGATCCTTTCATTGAACCTAGCAAACATTTTACTTAGGCTGGAAATAACTGACAAAACTTGGTAAGAAAATTAGTGAATGCATAGAGCATAGTGTAACTTTGTATAAAACCCATGAACTAAAAGCAAATGTTGACTGCTGCAAAACTAAGTTCTCCCTGAAATTGTTTGAAGGAATGAAGTAGAATACAACATGTGTCAGTAATCCAGATAGGAGCATTAATATTTGTTCATTTCTGATAAGTCAGATCAAAATAGATTACACATTAAGCTTTCTTGAATTCATGACTGCATAAAAAATTGTAGTGTTTAACATTGGTGAGATAGGTTGGTGACAGGATTTCTAAATTCCTGATTAATCATTGCTATCATTGCTTTTCATTAGTGATGGTGGGAGAAAAGTATACATAGCATCGATATTTAACAATAATGAAATGCATTTGTTTTACCATGGTAATGTATCATTATGTTAATAACAATGGATAGTTTATTGTTAATTGTTATTCTTAATAACAATAAATGGATAGTTGGAAAATGAAAGATAAATATTTTGATTGAACATTCATATTTGATTTTGTTCTACTCTTGGTTACTCTTTTCTGTACTGACCAAAATGTTTAGCTTCCATCTATTGCTTTAATACATTTCAAGCACATCCTTTCTTCTTTTCTTGTTGATTGCTGCTCAGCTGGGTTAGAGCTTAGTGCTCTGGCCCTTGAGAGTTAGTTCCTTCATCTATCAATGTTGCTATGCCTAAGAGGCACTTCTTCACTCTTCACTTACCCTTCTCAGTCAGAATTAAATGTTTATTATAATTAAAACGCAGCTGGATTAGTAGGAAGCTAGTACTGTTGATATTGAAGCATAAGAACTACCAAGCATTCTTCAGCAGTATTTTGTTAGAAGTAATGAACTTTCTTGATGAAATTGGAAAAGGCTGAAGAAAGCAGTAGTATAATGAAAATACTTAAGAAGCAATCAGGAGGTGTAAGTAACTTAAAAACATTTTCTACAGCCATTCTTGATACAGACATGTGAGCTTAGTGAAAACTTGCCTCATACAATTACAAAGTGTCAAACCAATTAATTTTTTTTAAAAAAAAATTAAAGTGGAAGAGCTCCCTTGTACCTAGTGGAGCTAATGAAACTCATTTTCATGTTGGTGCATATATGAGGTTTATTTTTTTTTTGGTCGTTTTCAGCCTTTTTCTTGCTACCCCAGACTTTGCTTTGTACATTTACGTTTGAACTTGAGTGTACATGTGTGCTGTTTGATTGTCCCAATACTCCCAGGCTGCACACACAGCATTTCCTTAGTTCTCAGCCTTTTGTTTAGGGTAGGAACTAGTATAAGTGCCTCTCTTCTACTCAGTTGTGAATGTATAAAACTTGCAATTTTGTACTTATAAAGTTATAGTGAGAGAAGGAGAGAGCAGATTGCAAAACTAGTAAAGGCTCACTTTGCCTCACTTTCTCTGTTGTAGTGTTATAAGATCACTGTATAAGTGTTATAAGACTACTGTAAGGAATTTTGAATAACTTACACATGCATGTGTAATACTGTACTACTGTGGTGTTATTATGTGTATTTAAAAGTCTATACATACTCAGTCTTTAGGATGAAGCTTTTCAAATTAAAAAGCGTTTCTGTTATTGTGTAGCTACTTTTGTTGTCATTGTATGGCATGCTTTGTGGGGCTTATTGCATTAAACCTTCGGAAGGCTAAATAATTTTGGAAGTCTCCATTTTTGCACTTGGTCAAGTGACAGACCTAGCAGCTTTGGGTGTGGGTGAGCTGTCATTCCTAAGTCTTGTTTAGAATAGTTCTAACTGAGGGCCTGCTGCTGTTGGAGAGCACAGCATTTCGAAGAATAAAACTAAAGTTTGCTTAATAGAGTCACAATATGAGATATGAAGTAGGTGGCACTGAACCGACATGGCTAGTAAAAATGTTTCATAGTGATGGCTAAAAAGGAAAGACGGGGGAGTTGTGAAGAGAAGCAGAAGAGTTGCTTGTGTCCACAGGGAAGGAACCTTTCATGTGGCAAGAGTGTTTTGTAAAATCTTCAGTCAATTGCTCTGTGTGTTTTCTCAATATTCACAATGCAGTTGCATCATTGGTTTGGTTTCCTTTCAGGGCTAAATACCATAAATTAAAATATGGCACAGAACTGAATCAGGGAGATATGAAGCCACCGAACTATGATTCTGGTAAGATTTTTTTGAGAATGAACTTATTACTGGCATAAGAGCTTAACTGTGTTCTGTGCAAATGCTGAAGTATTGATAAAATAAATCTTTTAATGGAGCAGTGAGAATAGAGATAATTAATAAAGTCTATATTTTACTCTTGTGCAATTAAAAAAATATATGCTAGTGCCTTAAGAACCTATTAATAAATCAAGTTAGTTTAGATTTTTTTAAAAATCGGAACCCAAATGAGCAGACTGCTCTTGGAGAGAGTAGTTTTTCTGTCCCTTGCTGGTGTGTATGGATAATTTAGAACAGGATGATACTAGATTCATAACAATAGATCCTTTTGCCTCTGGATAATTCTTCTGAATGAAATACATAATTCATAATTTCTGTTCAATTACCTCAATGGTATTCCAGGAAAAAAAAATTAAAGTGCATATTAGACATAAGCGAGAGTTTTTGAATGAGTGATTTCTCTGCAGAATTCAAATGATTGTTGGAAATACATTTAACTAATTTCAGTTTTTTGCCTTGGTCTCTGGAAAGCTGATCTGTTTTCATCTCCTACTTCACACAAATAGATTTGGGCACTGAACTGGGGAAATTAAGAATTTAGATCACTTCCTTTTAGCCTTCTGCCTCCCTATCATTTTCTCAGGGGAAAAAAGAATACAAAAAAGAGGTACAGAGATCTGGCTATAGGTCAAGCCATTGAAAAAATAGGTAATGCATTTTGTGTCTCAGTCTCCTAATGCTTCTACTAGAATGAAATTGGAACCACCTATATGTAAAGGCAGAGCATAGGGTGTCTACACATCTCATCTGTCACTTGGTTTGTGGAGGGGATGGTCTGGCTGACTATCATGGTGATTTCTTCCCTCATTGGGTTTAGAAAGTCATTAAAAGACCCCCAAACAAACAAAAAATCCAGCCCCACACACCAACTAGCAAAGCTTTACACCAGGTTTTTCTTGTCCAAGTTTTTAATGAATGTTTTAGAAATTTTATTTCATGTGATTATCAGTGTTATTGCTGTCACTGAAGAAATACTGAATTCGGTCCTACTAAGTAGAAGACCTCAGTCTGTGTCTGGACCTTTTGAAAACTTTGTCCTGATGATACTACAGTCCTAGGCAACCATGGGTTTTTTTTGTAATTTCTCATGCAGCTACAGCATATTGTTCCAGTTTCCAGCTGAGGAATGTAGTGTGAGGCCTGGCTTGCCCAGCAGAGGTCTGGACTGCAAAGTCAACATTGTGGGAATACTTTAGCTAAAATTCCATTATTCTCATTTATCCCATTGTATTCTATATATAGCTATCAGAAATGTGTATTTTTGTTCTATATCAAAGCTGGACTGATGACTTAAAATAGAAACTTTTTTCTAATGTTATTTTGAAGTTGTCTTTGATAGGTACTTAAGATGTATGTCCATATGTTCCCCTCACCCTGTCCCTGGTTTTCCTGCCCAGTTGAGAAAAAAAGTGGAACTGTTGGTAATAGTTCTTCCACATGCGTCTGTGTTGTTTTCTTTATGATCTCTTGGTGAATCTGTAACAGTTTTGGAAGAAAGATTTCAATCTCTTGGTAAAGGGATACTTTAAAAAAAAATAGTTATATATACAGTTGATCTATTTATACCACATATGTTGTATCTTCTGCTATAATTTCCTCATAAAGCAAGTCTCTTCATTCTTATCTGTAAACCACTGCTACTGCTAGCAGTCATCATTTTTGAGGAGACTAAGCACAAGAGATTCTTGCCTCTGGATATACTTAACAGTGCCTTCAGAAGAACGAGTTTTGCTTTCAAAAGGAATTTTCAGGCAGATTTACCTCAGTCATGTTTTAGTAATTATAGACTGAGCTTTAGTAGCTGTGTGTTGAATCCAGCAATGTCCAGTTGTCATTGGAAAATGCTTGTGCATTTGATTATTTCCTGTGGTTACTATTAAATAGATTTGTGAATATGAGATGTCTAAAATTCATATGTCTCTCCTTGCATGTGAATTCTGGTTAGTATTTGATAACTTCTTTGGATAGGTGGTAGGGGATTCTTGTGTAGTGTTAATTGAGTTGTTTAAAGGTAAATGACTTCCTGATGAGAAGTCACATATCAAGTTACTCATAGGACTGTACCACAGGTTTTTCTGGTTCTTAAGTCTTGTTTGCACAGGAAATTTGTTCATCCTTTAGTGTTTGGACCACAAGGTTTTCAAGTTTTGTAGAGGCTTTCATAGATAATAAGCCAAGATCATTTATCTGGGGAAGCATATGCATCTCCTCAAGGAGAGAAAAAAACCCCACCATCATGTGCTGTGAAGCTATATATGAAATAAACTTGCAGCTGTTGGTTGCCGGCATTCTGATAGTTTTCTTAAGAGAAAAGCCATGTGATTTTTGTAGATTACTACTAGATGAAGGAGTAACATTTGGTTACAAATTTATGGTTGAGGAAAATGTGATGGAAATTTTTTAACTATTTTTCAGGTTAAAAAATAACCCTATTGTTTGTTTGTTTGTTTCTACAAAACAAATACAAATAAGGATTGAATTGATCTGTTGATTTATGTTGAACTGTCAAATATTAAGAAAACTGGGACATTGTAAAACGGTATCGTGCTGCAGTTAGCAGTTAAAGATATTCGTATTCAGACTTAATGTGAGCAGCAATTACCTTGGAAGCCCAAAGCAAAACTTGGACTGTAGACTGAATGCCATTATGTGCCCCTAAAGGAGTTAGGAACGTACTTCATAGAGTATGACTGTTTAGGAGTTAGGACTAGTGGAACTTGCTCTCATAGAGTAGGCTGTAGCTGGAAATCTTTATATAGTACTACAGTTATGTGCTGTGTGCAATTTTTTTTTCACCCTTCATTATTTGCACTTTGAATTTTGTTATTAAAACATTCCTAATAATTTTAAGGCAGTTTCTCTTCAAGTGGATGGGCATCTTTTATAGAAATAGGAAAAGGAAAAAAAATTAATAAAATAATCTTTTTCAGATGAAGGGAATGAGACAGAGATTCAGCCACAACAGAACAGTCAGCTAATATGGAAACAAGGACGACAGCTGTTAAGACAGTAAGTGTTGAAAAAAGGACTCAAATACTGAATGCAAAGAAAGAATCTGCTAATGAAATAAGATGGTGATGGTATTTGATTTTTCTTCAGTTATATTTTACTGAAAGAAAATTTAGTGTGTGTGATGAAGTTCACTGAGCTTCTGCACTACTTTTCCTTGGGTTTTGAAAAATATATTTCGTAACTTCAGATGAGAAGCCTTGTCAAGCCACAAACACCTAATCTCATTTACTTTTCTTTCACTGAGTATAATCAAACAGTCTGCTTGGGAGAACAGTGGGTCATGACACTTTGCAATTAAAAAGCAAAAGACACGAGTAATTCTGCTAAGAGCTGTGTAAAATAAAAGCAGCTAGCGTTGCAGAAGGAAAAGTTTTACTTTGACTTACTTAAGTTGCAGAAAAGACTAACATCCAGAAGGTTAGACTAGATGTTTTCTAATTCTCTATTCATCTCAATAAAAAAAAGTCTGTTAATCTAAATTTATTTTTGAATTGTGGTCATAATAACTAAATTAATTGCCATGATATTTGGTGTGTTACAGAGGGTTAAATAAGAGGGGACTGAGACAGTAAGGATGGTCTGGAACTTATATTAAAACACATTTTTCCAAAGAGTTGTGCGAAAGTTAAATTCGTTGGATGGCTTGTACAGGCTTTTCTTTTGCAAGAGCTCAAATCTTTGCATGCATATGGAATAAATGTAAATAGAGTGGTCTTGACTTGGATCAGTGGCTTTGAAGACGAGCCATTCCTTCTCAGCGCAGTTCATACAAGAGTGACGCACTGTTGAATATAGAGGACATATTACTGACAGACTCTGTTTTGCATAGGTGACTTGTTTGATTTTTCTATAGCCAACAATCAGTATTTCTCTCCTAATGTGGTTATGCGAATGATATTGTTAAATAATTGGAGGAAAATGTTCTTGCAGGAAAAGTGCATGTCTCTGACTTGTAACAGCTGTCACTGTAAGATAGTATTTCCCTTCTCTAGAGTTGTCTAGAATATTGGCAATTTAATCAGTTCAGTGCCATTAACTCCATGTTCTAGAGGGAAGGATACAAACCAGTTTTTACTTTTTCTTTTTAAAATTGTTATTTCCCTCCTGCTTCTCTCAGGACAACATGGCATATTGATGAAAGAGCCAGCTTTAAATCTACAGAGCCAACTTTAGGCTATGAGGTTTTCATATAATGATTTTTGCTGTTCAGTCTTTCTATGGATGTCAAAATTTTGCAGAATAAAGAAAAGGCCAGACAAAGATTTTGTCAAGCCTAGTCCACCATAAATAACAACTCTTACTAATGACTGCAGCTATAGAATTTGGTTATTATTCCCTGTTTTCTAGGCTTCTAATAATGTTCACATAAGGACGATACCTGGTGCTTCTTGTATCTAGTTTCCATGTGTTAAAGAATAAAATTACCATGACTGTGCATGCAACTGTGGTGATTTTTTTAAAGCAGTTGTAAACATTTTAACTGAAAGTGCTTTTCCATCCATTTTAGTAAATGAATGAATAACGTATTGTATAACCTCTGACTGCTAGGCTCTCTGATTTTTTTTTTCCTCAGTGACTGTAGAGGCTGGTACTGCAAGAGGCGATCCCTCTGCAGCTGGTACAGGATGATTTACAAGCATGTTTCACCAGCTCAGCACCGTAGTTTGCTAAGCTAAGGGATTGAGGATGAGTTCAGGGAGATGTTTCCACTTCATGTTTTGCCAGAAGTGAGATGTGCAGAGAAGATTAGCATGAGTTCTCTTCCTTCAGGTATCTACAAGAAGTGGGCTACACCGACACGATATTGGATGTGAAATCAAAACGAGTGCGAGCTTTATTGGGCCTCTCAAGTGATGCTTCAGAAAAAGAAAACAGAAATCAAGAGCCAATGGTAAATGGCACAGAGGGCCAGATTAAAGAAAACGCAATGATCGGGTAAGCATCAAGATGACTTTGTTATCATTCTGCATAAATGCACTTAGTGGTGTTGACCAAAATTTTTGTTTACTGAGAAGATTTCAGGATTTTTCCCTAGTTCGAGATTAGAGCAATTCTAACTAATTTTATTATATTAAGCAATAAGTTTGGAAGTAATTCTTTAGATTCACATCTTAAATGCACCATATGTTTTTTTTTCCGTTTGGATGGCAGCACTAAGTCAAATCAAGCCTCTTTTGAGATATGATTGCTAAATGTTTAGAAGTCAGTGTTGTTTCAAGTTAATGGTTTGTTTGTATTGCTGGACACTACTGTGTAGGTTGCAGGCTTTGCTCTTCTAGTCTATGCTGAGTATGAGAGGATAATCTATATAAGAGGAAGATTTTTTTTTTTTTAATTTTTTTTTTTTTTTTTTGGTTAAATCTGGAAAACAGAGTCACTCATTACATTCTGAGTCCTGTAAGTTTTTGGTTTTCTACTGATGAATAGACATATGTAAATGTGACTGAAATGTAAACTATTAATTTCTGTGTTTTAATATTTCTAATACTATTGAAAGTCAAAGACAGCAAAAGCTTGTTCTTATTTCTTCTCTTAAGTAATGTTAAAACTTAAGAGGCATTTCTTAAGATATTGTAGTTGAAAAACTGGAAAAATGATGAAAATTATGCAGAAATGTGGGAACAACAGATGAGGTAGCTGTTTCACTAGAAGCAGCACCGCTTTCCTCAGAAATCCTCACTCTTTTCCTTTTCTGTACTTGTGGGTTGAAATTCAAGAACTTAATTTTCTAAGACCTAATACTGTTATATGTCCACCCTATCTTGTACAAAGCATTTGTAAGAGCTCATTTATACCCTTCTGATAGCTGCAGCAACTTCAGGCCAGCAAGTTACATAAGGGCAGAAGTTCATTGTAATTAAATGTAATGCTGTGAGATGGAAAACTTGAATGTGTGAGAAAACCTGTAAGCTACTAAAATATATTGTGTTGATACATGGTTGACAAGTCATGTCCTTTATGTGCAGCAGCTTTGTTTCGAAGAACAAGGAATGCTTGATGGCTTGCAATAACAGTTTTGGTTTGATTTCTGAGGAAGTGGAAGTGTGTAAATAATGCTTCTCCTCTTACACTTCCAAATTTATTTTCGTGTATTTACATAGTTTGGAAAAGGTGGATAAGTGTATAAGGTAATTACTTGATGGATGAAATACCGGGACAGTGGTTTTGATGCAGCAGTTTTGGATATATTTGCATTTCTTTCCATCTGCTTGGTTTCGGGATAGAGCTGACATTAGTTTTAACACTTTGTAGTGTTAAATCTTATCCTTACCCCCTGGCTAAGGATATTCACTGGTGGAGAAAAATGAATTCCCTTCCATTATGGCTGTACAAGCTTGTCAGCTGTAAGGCTGATCAGGCTGCACACTTCGAAAAACAGTTCCTGCTTGTGATGCCTGAGATGGCAGACTGCATTATAGAGCTTAGGGAAGGGTTTTGATAACATAATGAACAAGAAGAGACTCCAGGGCTTTACAGTGGAAAAATTTGCCAGGGTTCTTGTTCAGCATGGTCATGTCATCTTCATGGGTGATTTTGAATTTCTGGATATCCACTGAGATCACCCTCACTGGAAGGAGAAAGTCAAGATTTTATTGGAATCCCTTGATTAATCTAAGTACAATACTACCTCTCAGTGCTGGTATTCTTCTGGGTGCATCACACTTCAGACCTCTTTCAATTTTTCTGCCAGGAAGCCTTCTGTGGCTTGCTTCCTGGCAGAGACTGCCTGTTATTTAAGAGCTATTTCATCTTGTGCTACCTCACTGTTTCTGTGACGTGTGGCACTGTTCACCTTCTTCCAGCTGCATCATTAATTGACTCTGAGATTTCAAAGTACAGCTTTGTGGTAGATGCAAATCAGAAATAAGCTCATATTTACCTGTTACCTGTCTCATGTGATGTCAGCATTACTTCAGCTTATATAGAAGAGCTTCTCTTTGAAAAGTATAGCACTGAATAGATGACAGAGGTCTGAGGCACATGGATGTTGCTCCTGAACTCAGGATGTTACTCCTGAACTCAACGGAAATTTTTAGTGAGTGTTTGAAAACTTAATTCAAGCTTTCCTGAACTAGGAAAAATTTAGGTGACTCAGCTAAATTCTGGCTTAGAGTTGAGGGAGGTGGATCCTTTGAAGCAACCTCACCAGTGCTAGGCTGCTTACTGTGAAGGCAAAAGGACTGGCAGTTCCTTTAGCAGCCTCTTGTTATTCCTTGTGTGCATGTTAAGTGAAAAATGGATTTGGGCTCTACAGCAGGCTTTTACAGTTGGAAGGAGTGCAATAAACATGTGTCTGCAGTTTGGTAATGGTAGAAGAGGAAAGTTACAGTGAGAAATTGGAAGAGCAAGAAACCAAACAAAACCTTAGTGCAATTCCAGCAAGTTTAAGGACATATGCGAGTGTTTGTCAGGACCATGAGACATCAGGACAGTTGCAAACTAAAATGCAGGCTGAAGACTCTCTGTGACTGTATGGGTACAATGAAACTCTTCATAGGAGAAAGCTTTGCTATCACTAAGGAAGCCTGTGAACTGCTCAAGCCAATGCAGTTTGGCAGATTTTCTGGTTCAAAACATATAATGAACATTGATGTCAAATATCTGCTAGCAACTCTGAGGACACTGGACAGCCTGAAAATGTTTTAGTTACATTTGAAGAGCAGAGCACTGGGCAGAAAGTAACGCGTAAAAATGGATGTAGTCTAACAAGGAATACACCTCTGTTGAAGTGGGAAAAGACAGCTCATAGCATGTTGGATCTGTTTGATCTTGGAACAACTGCATAATATGCGCCCAGTTGAATCTGTGCATTTTAAGTCTGTGTTTTAGAAAACTGTTTACATGGGGTGAAAAACGTGAGAAGCGGAGTACAGAACTCGAGTAAAGAGAAAACTTGGGGATGAGAAAAGATAAAGACAAATCAATAGGAGTTTGGAAAGAATGTAGGTGAATGTGGTGAAGATAATGTACAATAGAGGGGGCTCAACTGCCTTCTGTACAACTGAACACTTGTGATAAATTCCAAAGAAAGGAAAGAGATGGTATTTGATGCTTTTATGCTACCATATGGTTATCTCTTTGAGAGGAGAGAGGGAGTAATGGCGATAGGAAACAAAACTTCCTTTATGTTTTCATTATTTGTTTGGTAGTCAGCTGGTACTTTCTTAGTGAAATTAAAGTGGTGAGCACAAAATAAATTAGTATTACAAAAAGTTCCAGGGCAAGAATGGAAGAGCTGATCTACTTCTCAACACAGTCTGATTTCAGCACAATTTTTGTGTAAGTGTATTCATCTGTGTGTAGTGCTTGTTGCTGCTGGTCAGCCTCCCTCAGAAATACCTCTGTGACTTGCTCTGACTACTTCTGAGCACAATGGAAACCCACACTTTTCTTATTTTTTAGTGTTTTTAATGCCTTTGATTGTTTTAAAGATAATTCCTGGCATTTTTCCTCTGATCTTGAGGATGTGTGGAGTGTATACTTCATGGTGGGTAGGGAGGATGTTTTTACTTAGCTTATTACAGCATTTACAAGTTTTTAAGTTGTTTGTTACAGTAGCACTTGCCTCTTATATGAGTTATGTCTTGTTGTCTGTCCTTTATGCCGATTTCAACAGCTGAGGTTTGGACTCTCAGTGTTTGGGATACCAACACTGAGTTGAGCCTTTTTGTGGGAAAAGCTAGTGAGCATAGGTGATTTGGGGTGATATTGTGAAACTGATGCTGTTTGCTTTGGTATGTAGAAGCATATGATGGTTGATGTCGGGCAAATACTTAACACAATAATATCTATTTGTAGCAGAGAATATGTAACTTGAATTCTGCTAGGCTCTAGTTATTTTAGAAAATTGCTGTCTGGTCCCTCATACCTCAGCTTAGTTTTGTATATCCTAAATGATTGCAGTTACATCAGAGAAGTTCCCCTTCCTTTGGTACAGTAGTGAACAAGCTACTGTTGTCTGAATCTGTTTTAAGCCAAGTCAGTTTCTCTTCATCCTTAGGTGAAGTAGCCTCAGTAGCCTCAGACTTTGTGTTAACTAGCTGCTACATGTGTGGCCAGACTTGTATTCTTACATTGCCTATTTATTTGCCGATGTACAGATCCTCTTGAAAACTTTAGCACTCAAGAAAGACATCATGTGGATTTTGAATGCACCCTGCAAGATTTTGAATCCATAAATGAAATGTTAATATGATAACATGAGCTAGATATAGTCCTGTTTTCACTTATTTCATGGAATTTAAAAGGGAATCAGTTTTCAGTTTCTTCAATCAGCGCACTTGCATTACAAAAGATAAGTACCACTTGGCATGACTGGACTCAAAAATAGATACTAAAATAATAACCTCATAATAATGGTTTAAATTCCTAACACTTGCAGTGAGAGGAATGGGTGCTTTCCCCAAACAAATTGAAACAGAAATGAAAGCTGCCTGCAAATGTAGCTTGTAGCCTTGAACACATGAAAGTACTTAAGTATCTTTACTTCACTTATTACCTCATTTTTAGTAGCTTTATCTTACTGAGTGAAACCTAAACAGTCAAGTCAGTTTACCTTCTTGAAGGTACATATTTGACTATTATTTAGTGTGAGTGGAAGCAAATGTAATAATGGAATAGATCTGGAAAGGGATGAGGATGTACCAAACATATGTGTATATATATGCATAGGTATGAATGTCTATATATAAAAATGGTATAACTAGCTCTTGCTAAGGGTTTGATATAATTAGAACTATAAATAGCCAACAAACTTCTTAAAGAAAAATGATCCTGAGTGATATATCAGTCTCTCTCTGAAACTTACTTGCTGCCTTTCCTTTTCCTATTGGACTGCAAAGGGCTTCCACTGCCTATGCTTTACATGAGCAAAAAGGCATCAAGGCTCAGCATTTGAGAGCAAATCTGAAGACCTTTTCAAAAATTAAATATTT